ATGAAGGAGAACAGCAATCGTGAGAACAAAGGTGCAAATCAACAACAGCCAAAACCCCCATCAGATAATGCATTGTGAGACTACAGGCTACGAAGGTCAGGACCAAAAATTGAAAAATGAATGCACCGTTTTTAAGGCACTGGGAGGGCTGAGAGGCCCAGAATTGGGAGGATACATGAGGCAGGATTTGCACAGGCCAAATCCTGTTCCTGTTTTTTCTTTTTAAAAGCATGAGGCCAGACTAAAATAAAAGTCACACCCTGTGTGATTTTTTTAACGAGTTCAAATGCCTCTCAGATGAGCAGTTATTGGCATGTTGTTAAGGATTTCTGGGAGACACCACACAGGTCATCAGCCTTCAGGATGGTATCCTTTGGTCACAGCTGCTGTGTCACCTGTGGGCTCACGTTTCTCTTCCGTGTATGCCATCGGTTGCACCCCAGGCCCCCAAAGTGAGGGGCAGGTGAGCACGGGAGCATTCCCTTCTAGCATGCTTCTCGGACTTGGAGGTGTGTTGGAATCATCCCGGAAACTTTATTTCTATTTCTATTTCTATTTCTATTTCTATTTCTATTCTATTTCTATTTCTAATTTTTTTAATTTATTTATGATAGTCACAGAGAGAGAGAGAGAGGCAGAGACACAGGCAGAGGGAGAAGCAGGCTCCATGCACCGGGAGCCCGATGTGGGATTCGATCCCGGGTCTCCAGGATCGCGCCCTGGGCCAAAGGCAGGCGCCAAACCACTGCACCACCCAGGGATCCCTCTATTTCTATTTATTTCTATTTCTATTTCTATTTCTATTTCTATTTCTATTTCTATTCTATTTCTATTCTATTTCTATTTCTATATTTCTATTTCTATTTCTATTATTCTTTCTATTTCTATCTATCTATCTATATCTATCTATCTATCTATCTATCTATCTATCTATCTATCTATCTATCATCTAGCTAGCTAGCTAGCCATCTAGCTATCTAACTATCTAGCTATCTGGGAAACTTTGAAAAGCTTCTGATGTCTGGCTGCCCCCCCCCCCCCGTGGGTTCGGGTGTAACCGGCCCTGGGCATTGGTACTCGCAAAAGTTCGTGCGGCGCACGTTGTGAGCCCATCTTCCAGGCTGCGAGACGCATGGCCCTGCTGCAGTCGCTCCATCAGTTCCTGTATCCTTGGACCCTCTGACTTTGAGAACCTGTGGCTCTCTGGCCTCACTGGCTCCGTCTTTCCTATCTAAAAGCTGAACAGGCAGGTGGAAGGAGAAGTAGCGGAATTCTTTCCCTGACTGGCTTCCAGAAGAAGCCCAGCCAATACAAGTATTGGCACAATATACCAGGCCTCTGAAAAGTGCCACCTCCTGTGCCAGAGAAATTCAGAAAGCACGGAGGAGTCTTGGGTGAGAAGTCCAGCTCTGCTTCCCCACGCTTGGGAAAGCTGCTTCTTCCTGCTGAGGCTCGGTTTCCTCATCTATACAAATTGGAACACCTGCTTGCTGGGCCTTACTGCGCTGACTACTCGGAGTCGGACATAGCGCCCAGCTCGCGGGGGCCCTCGCTAGTCGGAGGCACATGCATGGAGAGCACAGCGAAGACAGCTAAAGCTTTTTCACCGATTTATGCCCCAAATTAGTAATAATTATGATTTATGGAGCCCGTTTATCCGATTCTTTGCCTGTGAAACAAATATTTATTACACGGTGACTTAATGCCAGCCGCCCTGCTACATGCTAGGAGTAGGGTTAGGACTAAAACACGCATGGTCCCTCCCTTAGGGCCTCTTACTGCTCAGCTACATGCTTCATTGATCAACATAGGAGTTGATTTCAAGCAGCTCAGAGACTGAACTTGCTGGAGGGGTGGTACGACTACCAAACTGGCAAACACTTGGGATGTGCTATATGGTTGGGAGAAACCTGAACCAAGTAGAGAGACAAAGGCTTCGCGGTGTCCGTGACTGTTGTGAGGGGTCATGAGGCTATCAGAAGGACCACCCCACTCGGGCAGCTTCGTGAGCCGTGGTTTCTCTTTTTCTGGGTTCTTGAAGGCCCTGCTTTGAGTGTAGCTGTGATTACGTGGTAAGGTGTGTGACTACTACATTACGGGAACTTGGGGTTTTTGCTGGGGTCTCTTGGCCTCTTTTGATCAATCACTCACTCCTGTGACGATACTGCTTCCCTCGACGGTGATCCTAAAAGCTGGTATTATTATCTTTATTTTAGGTGTTAGACACAAGTAACTTGTCCAAGGTCATTGGGCTGGTAAAGGGCAAAGCTGAGATTGAACCTGAGGTCGGTGTGATTCCACAGCTCACACTCTTGACCTCTGCTTCCAAGCAAACTTCAGGTGAGCGTGCTTGGGAAATATCAAAATCTGACTTGCCAGAGCATTGATTTTAAAAACCACAAGTAAAGAAGAAGACACGCAGGTGGAACTAGGAGAGGATGCTGTGACTGTACCATCTAACCTTGGCCTTTGGGCCTCTTAGGAAATTATATAAGAGACTGGAATCCAATAAAGAATTGTGTCCAGTTTGCCTGGTTATCAATCAAACCTGCTGATGCTTAATTTTATGACATTCTGTAGATTAAAGGCTTCATGATTCAGGTTCGCATCTCTTCTTCGTAGCTGCAGGTGCAACTCTTTTGTTAGACTGAGAATATAAGGACTACGACGAAGAAAGCAACACTAGCAACTTGAGTGCGGTGTAAGATCTCGCTAATTCCAGGTAATCTTTCTCTGCTTTCAGGATAAAAAGTTTTAACAGTGATGATGGAATGTGTGAGTGAGCGTGTGGGCATTTACGTGCGTGTACGAGTGTACAGCAGCTCATATGCAAACGCTCGGGAGCTCATGTGGAAGAATAGAGATTTTAAGCCAGTTTTTTTTCCTTCCAGATTACCATGAGTTGCAGTAAGTACTTTCTATGGTATCCATCCAGTTCATAAGTGATTGCCTTTTCTGTTCCCCATCCTGGGTAGGGGACCTGGCAGCTATGTTTATATCAATGAAACATGACCCCCACATTTGCTTAGACCAGTGGTGGCCATTCGATCCAAAAAGGGCCAACCACATTCTCCCTCGTGGCAGACTGCATGGATTCCGAATTCATTATGCTTTCTGTATCCATGCCCTTTGCCAAGTAACTTTGTGGTCCTTCCATCAGAGGTTGAGGATATATATTTTATCTCCCTGTTGGATATTGGACCCAGCTATGTGACTTGGCCATGGAATGTCAGGGGGCACAGCTTGAACCTAGGCTTTAAATGGGCATGTGGAGTTGGGGCCTGTCCTCTTGAGCTCCTTGCCTTCGTCCATGAGAAGAATAGGTCTCAGGTAGCTGCTAGCCCAAGGACAGGGAGAGACATCTGGGACAGACCTGGATAAATCCCGTGCTCAGTCAAGCCGCCTATAACCAGCGCGCGGACACATGAGCAAGGGATAAATATTCATGACAGCATATCCTTGAATTTTGCTTTGGATTTTAGGGAGAATTACTATGGCAACGCATAACTGACGTATCTCTCCTTGAAACTCTAGAATTAGGCGGAGAGACAAAGAGACTGTCTCTTTGGACTGTCTTTTGGGAACGGGGGCATGTAAATGGTAGAGCTCACTATGGAAGAATGTTGAACTTTTTTTTTTCTTTTTCTGACTACTCCTCTGCTTAAGTTGTTTGTTTGTTTTGAGGTAAAGTTCACAAAACATACAACAATTCAGTGGCCTTTAGTACATTCACAGTGTTTTACAACCACCTCTACCTATTTCCACATATTTTCATCACCCCAAAATAAAACCCTGTATGCATTAAGCCTTTACTCCTAATTTCTCTCTCTCCCCAGCCTCTGGCAACTACCAATCTGCTTTAACTTTTAAATTAAAAACAAATTTTTTAGAGGGATTTACATATTGCCTATTATGGACTGGGTTGTGGCCCCCTCCCACCAAATCCATATGTTGAAGCACTGAGCCCTTATGTGACTGTATTGGAGACAGGGGCCTTTAGGGAGGCAATTAAGGTTAAACGAAGCCAGAAGAGTGAAGCCCTGATCTGACAGGACTGGTGCTTTTACAAAAAAGGTGAAACGATTGCAGAATCTTTGCCATGTGAGAGTACAGTGAGAAGGCGGCCATCTGTGAGCCAGAGAGATGGCATCTGTAAGTGCCCCCAGGGCCTGAGCATGTGGCCCTCCGATCTCAGATCCTCAGCCTCCGCTGAGAGAAAACGAATTTCTGCTGTCTAAACCATCCAGTCTGTGGTATCTTGTTATGGCCGCCTGAGTGGCCCCACACACTTATTCTGGACATTTATATCAGTAGGACCGTTAACGTGTGATCTTTGTGCCTGGCTTCTGTCCAGTGAAGGCATTTTCTCCAGGTTCATCCCTGTTGTAGCGTGCATCAGGGTGTCATTCCTTTTTTACAACTGGATAAGATTTTATTGTCTGCATACCACATTTTGTTTATCTGCTCATCTGTTAATGGATATTTGGGTTGGTTCCACCTTTTGGCTATTGCGAATACGGCCGCCATAAACATATGTGTACAAGTATTTGTTTGAGTACCTGTTTTCAACTTTTTTTTTTTTGGTATCTACCTAGGAGTGGAATTACGGGGTCATAGAGTAATCCTCGGTGTGCTGAATTTTCGGTGCTCAGATCCTCAAAGCTGTTTCTTGGTTTCTATATAATCCTACCATGGGTTCCATAAGATAGCTCCAAAACACTTTCAGTAAATTCCTTTTGTTGCTGTGGTTAGACAGTGTTCACTTAAGCTAGAGTTAATTGCTGTTACTCAAACTTAGAGATCTTAAATAAAAAAGTTCTATTTTTTAGCCCCATAATATTAATATAATATTAAAGGAAAAATGAGCAAAAAACTTGTGCTTTGAAGTTTGCCATGGGGGTGGTAAGTCCCCCACTGATACTGACCAAATCAGGCCAATATCTTGGTGGGGTTTTGGAATTTAACTGGACCAAGAGATCGTTGCTAAGATTGCCACTCACCTTTGGGACCAGGCGGCACAGGACCTCTCATTGAGAGCATATTCCAGTTCAAAACGACTCCTTAAAGCGGCCACGTGGCTCCGGCCAGGCCCTCCCCGGCTCACCAGGCAGTCAGAAGAAGAGGAAGGTGAGAGAGACCCACTGCTGTTACTTGATGCAGGTGACATCAGCTGAGGGAAGAAAGGGTGGCTTCAGTCCTTTCAGAAATCCGACAGGCTTAAGGCATAGGCTAGAGTATGGATTTATTTTAACTTTCTATTCTAGGATTTCTCTTATTTTAATTTCTATTCATCTCAGCTCGCTTCTGGCTTTTCCTATCGGCCTTGGATGGTAATACATGGCTAGCTTAATTTACTTTTTTGACCCAGTTCTACGCCGAGAGCTGGCCCATTCAATTTATACACATTTTTCAGAAAACACGATGCGCTCAAATCAGATTCATAAAATAGGTATTTAGAAGGTGATTATTTAATGGTTGAAAGATTACATTTTTCACTATGGCGATGAGATTCGTGGCAGAGTTCCTTTAAATTGTAGCTTAAAACTATCCCCATTATATGAAATTATTTCCTTTTTGTAAAATGAATTTACACATTTTCCCAAGAATATATCCATTTTACAAAATGAGGGATGCTTTAATGTCTGGCAAGCATGAGGACTAAAGAGAGTGGTTGGGAGAGAGTTTTCAAAAACAGTTGCAAATAGTTAAGTGTAGTTAGAAAATAGAAGAGTACGAAGGAAGAAAATGAGAAAGAAGAAAAAAAAATAGGAGAGTAGTTTTCTTGAATTTCTGACGACCTTGCTGTTCACGAACTTGACCTAACCCAACTGAGAACACTAGTGCTTTGACATTATAATTCCACAACACAGGTAGACAGTAGATTTTGGTTTAAAAGTATAATCCATGCAAATTCTAGGCTCCTTACAGTAGCCAAGACATTACTAAGTAAAGCTCGGAGAATCATGTGATGTTAGTGTCAAAATGAACCTTCAAACTCTTCCATGACTGAATCTCTCCTGTGCCTCCTTTTCAAGTTAGCTAAGCAAGCCGATGGGGAGCCTCCAGGGATGGGGACCTCACTGCCTTCAGACCTGTTCATTTATCTTAGGACAGCTCTGACAATTAGAAATTTGTCTCTCCTAAAAAACAACAACAACAACAACAACAAAAAAAACAAAAAACAAAAAACAAAAAAACAAAAAAAAAACAAAGAACAACAACCATAATTACACTTCATTTCCATCTGTTGACCCTTAGAGGACAAGACCAATTCCTTTGCCATATGATCATTTTTCAGATGTTTAAAAAACAGCTTTTGGGCTTATCTTAATTTTCTCTTCTCTGGGACAAGCAACTCTGGTTCCTTTAATTGGTTCTCATATATGTGATGTTCAATCCATTCATCATTCTGGTCTCTCTTCCCTAAAATGTGTTCAGTTATAATTATCCCTTTATTTTATTTTTTAAAAAATATTTTATCTATGTATTCATGAGAGATGCAGAGACATAGGCAGAGGGAGAAGTAGGCTTCTCTCCGCGGGGAGCCCCATATGGAACTCATTCCCAGGACCCTGGGATCCCTACCTGAGCCAAAGGCAGATGCTCAACCACAGGGCCACCCAGGCGCCCCTATAATTATCCCTTTAAAAGGACATACCTGGGAACTATTTTGTTTGGCCATCTCAGGATAGAGAGGAATGATACTCATTTTTTATTTTGTAGCAAGACAGCTACTTCACATTCTAACTCCAAAGAGCTTATTATCTACCAACATGCATGATGCTCCTAAACCATATCTCCACCATTTGACATCTTTGCGATTGTTTCTTTGCCTCTAGTGTGTGATGTTATATTTATTCTTGTTAGACACGTCCTCTCGTTTTATCTTCCAAGGTACGGAATTCCACAAATCAAGCCCCTTAAAGCTGATTCTGGGCCATTATCGAGTGCAGCCCAGTCCAGCAAGTTCTCTTTGCATTGAGTGTTTCATCTTCTCTACTGGGAGAGACTGTGCTAAGAGGCTTGCTCAATGTAAGAAGCCACACTAGTTTAGGAGATCCAACCATTGTCTCTGTTTCTGGAATCCACTCTCTCATCTAGTTGGATATATCCCCAGGCTTGGAGAAGTTTTGCCCTGAGAAACACAAAGGTTCAAAGTGAGAGGACACTTGGAACTTAAGCCTTAAAAGGGTCTCTCAACATCCAAGGCCTCTGGCGGATGCTTTTGTTATTAGGGGCTGCTAAAGCCCCACTGAATACACTACTACTTCTCTCTGCTTTATGGGTTTCAGGACTGAAGAGAAGTGAATGGACATTTAATGTCCAAAGACTGAAGCTGCCTCCCACATAAAAGGCTTCCTTTTTAGAAGTTCCAGTAAAGAGTTATGAGACAGAGCCATTCGCTGCAGGCTGCAATTGAAGACCTGGAACCCTTTCCCAATAAACTGGGTTCTAGTGATTCTAAATTGAGATTTTTTTGTTGTGGTTGTTGTTGTTGTTTTTAGGGAAAAAATGGGATGGTTCCACTCTGGGATTTAGTTATGCAATCTCAGGTTGATGCTGTTTCCCATTTTGCCCCTTCCCATCATACGCACTTGTATTTGTGATGTGTGACGTCCACCCCCATCTCTTGCAGCACTCATTTGCTTTGGGGATATATTATTATTTTTGAATTAGTACTCCCGTGTTAGTTCCTTGCTTATTTTCAAATGCTATCTCCTGACCAGGTGTATAGAAAATTAAGGCAATTAGGGAGAAAATTAAAGCAAACAACTCCTTGATATTAAGGGAAGAAAATTCCATTAGGCTGATTACCAACATATATCACCTTATGCAACATATGTGCGGTATAAAAGCAATGCATCCCAATTAATTTATGTACTAATTTCAGTGATAATTTCCCTTTCTTATTGAACATAGACAGTGGCTTAATATTTTAACTTATGTCTCACCGTAGGAACTTTTGTATAGAGAAAAGTTGATTTAAATAACTACTTTCTAACATATTTACTGTATCTTCAAATTTTTACATATTAATTTTTTAAAGCTGGGCTTGCCTATGCTTAATGATTATGTGTTGGGAGGTCTGAGTTCATGCTGAATTTGCTTTTGCCCCTGTCGATTCAGTCGGTCCACCCCAGAAACTTAATGAACAGGGTAAATAAATGAATGAAGTTATGGACCTTCAGACTTACTTTAATCACCTCATCTATTCCCCAACACCCTAGGATATTCAAGATTTTTTTTCATGGACCTATTTCAGAAGCTGAAGTTCTTACCTCAATGTTGCAGAGACACTCTTCTAACTTGGTAACAACTTCAGAAAATTCAGGTCTTCCCTGTAAATAAAGAAAAAGACTTTTATTTTCCCCAAAAGAATAAAAGGGAGGCAACTGTCTTTGGATTTTAAAATTGGATATTTGCATTTGTAAAGAATGAGATTAACAATAAAGTATATTTTTTATTTAAAATACACTTGTATTGAAGTGTTAATTGAATGTTCATTTGCTGTTCAGGGAGGGATGTTGAGTCTCCTTCTGATAAGAGTTTTAAGTCAGAATTTGCAACTACATTCAGATAATGAAATAGTGGAAAAGCTTTAATTAGCTTTGCATGCTTTTAAATGGCAGGTTTTCCTCTTCAAAATGAAAGCATAAAAGTGAATACTAAAAACTGTTAACTATCTCAGTGCCTTATAATAATATACTGTACAATGTGTCTGTAGAAAAGAACTGCTAGGGCAAATTTTATAATTAGCTTCATTTTTGAAAATGCCATCTTAGATTTAAAGCTAAGATCAATGGAAACCTCATGACTATGCCCTTTTTTAGGGGTTAAGATAAGCTTTTTATATTCAAAAGCTGCCATTAAAGATATCGTTCATTATGAACTTGTGTGTCAGATGAGTTTGGTTAAACAAACATTTGTTGTATTCTGATCACATTCCAAACTGTTCTAGTTGCTAGGGATATAAAGATGATTACGGATCCATGGAAAAAATGCTGGGAATTTTAGAAAATGTTCTCTTTGGAAGAAATTATATGCCCCCTTTTGTCAGATCCTAGGGACTATATAACCTATCATTTCTCCTTTATGAAACTTTTACTGCCAGGAGGTGGAGAGCCCAATTTAACATTCAGGTGCAGTAACCAACTAATTTAGATTCTTAGTAGAACAATTTCTCCCTTAATATCTAGCCCTCCCCTGAGGACACTGCTTCCCTCAGAGCCCTCTCAAGTGAAATCTGTTTTTTCTTGCATATTCCTGGTACCTCTAGGTCGGCGGGGGGTGGCGATGGGGTGAGCGGGAGCTCTGGGTCTTCCTTGCTGTTGTTGCAACTTCCAAATGGCTTCTCTAAAAACCACCAGTTTGTGAAGGTTTCCCACCAGTCACTGTCCCTCATTCTTTGGAGGCCTGAGTGTTTGGCTCCCTGTCATGCTAACACTACTCAGTGCTTTTATTATCCATGCAACTAATCATTATAATGGCCTGTCTTCCAGGTTCCTTGGTCTCTTCTGCCTTGATCCCACACTCCACCTTCCTGGTAGTCACTTGGCTCCTGGGTCCTACTCTAGGCCCCGTTACTAACGTGGTCTGCAGACTTTCCATGTTTCCATCCTGTCAGTTTCCATCGGATCACTATCCAGGCTTTATCTTCTTTCTTTCCAGCTTACTTCTTCTGACTCCAATGACCCTTAGTCACACACAAAACATCTTGTCACTTTAAAAAAGCTACCTTTTTATTGTGAACATTTTCATATATACCCTGAAGTATTAGAGAACAATTCAATGAATCTCCACATATCTATCACTCTGCCTTAAAAACCATGTTTATGCTAATATTGTTCTATTGATGTACATAAGTCTGCATCTACTTACCTACCTATCGTCTAATCTATATCCCTCATTTTTTTGTTCGTCTTACCATCTTTTTTTTCTTTCTTTTCTTTTCTTTTCCTTTCTTTTTTTTTCTTTTCTTTTCTTTTCTTTTCTTTTCTTTTCTTTTCTTTTCTTTTCTTTCTTTTCTCTTCTTTTCTTTCTTTTCTTTTCTTTTCTTTCTTTTCTTTTCTTTCTTTTGTTTAAAGTTCTTATTTAAATTTTACTTAGTTAACATATAGTGTAAAATTGGTTTCGGGAGTAGAATTTAGTGATTCGTCACTTACATATAACACCCAGTGCTCATTATGTCACGTGCCCTCCTTAATGCCCATCACCCACGTAGCCCATCCCCACTCACCTCTCCTCCAGCAAGCCTCAGTTTGTCTTCTATAATTGAATCTCTTATTCAGGAGATGATTGGGGTGGAGGATACATGGAAGCAGAAAGCTCATGGAAGCAGAACAGGTTCACCTGTTCATCTTACTATCTTTTCACTGCTATTTACTCACCTTGGTTTCCTCCCTTACTTAGTTCAGATTTCATGGGCAATCATTATCACTCTATTCAATACAGCCTCAGCTCCCTTGCCTTATCATGCATTTTATACCCTATTGGGGAAAAAAAAATACCAATCTTGATTAAATCCACCCTGACTGGCTGTACTTAAAAATCATGGTCCTCTAACCTCAGGTGGACCCTCACTACTGCCTAGAGAGCCTATTACGCATCTCTGGCTCCCTCACTCTCTCACACTCCAGGTACCTATTTTGTAGCTTCTCCTCTTTCTTCAAACGTCTAATTCCCACTACTACATTGACCACCCACCAATGTCTAAATCCACAAAATTGCCCTCATCTGCATTTCTATGGATGAATTTTGCCTTTCTTTCTGAGGCCACTTCCTTCACAGTGTTCTAACTCTTATCCTTGCTACTGTACTCAAGGGCATTGCTCTAGCAATAATTCTCCCTTCTACTTTTTGCATCACCAAAGTTCCCTTTCTATTGTCTAATGCTGTCAACATACAATCATGCTATAAATTCTTCCATCTTAAAAACAAGCAACAAAATGAAACTCTCGACTCCACTTCTTCCTCAAGGTATTGCTGCATTTTATCTAGTCACCAAAATTGCTCTAAAGAACCGCTTAAATTTGCAGTCTCTTACTTTCTGCTTCCGTGTATCCTCCACCCCAATCAGGCTTTCTCCTGTAAGACTCTCCTACTCCTGCTCTCTTCGAGGATACAGATGCCTACCTCCTCATTGCTAAATTCAAAGGTTTATATCTCAAAGCTCATCTTCCTTGGCACTGCATTAAATGTAAATAATCATTCACTTGTGCCTGAAACATTTTTTTTAAGATTTTATTTATTTATCAAAGACACACAGAGAGAGGCAGAAGCAGGCTCCATGCAGGAAGCCCGACGAGGGACTCCATCCCGGGACTCCAGGATCACGTCCTGAGCCAAGGCAGATGCTCATCCGCTGAGCCACCCAGGCATCCCTGAAACATTCTTGGATTTGAGGTCACTGCTTCTCACTGTTTTTTCTCCTCTCTCACTTGTTCTTTCTCAGTCTCCTCTATTAGTTTCATTTTTCCTCTTCATCTTTAAGTTCTGGATTGCATCAGGACTCAGGGTTTGGGTCTCTTCTCATCTCTCTTTAGAGTTAATTTGTTGAGGGTTTAATTCTGTCTCATGGCTTTAAAAAACAACTCCTAAATATCTATATCTAGCCCAGAACACTCCCTTAAACTCTAAACTCACATATGCAATTTCTTATATTTATAGTCTTCCCTGTTTCAGTAAATGGCAACTGTATCTTTTCACTTACAGAGGCCAAAAACCAAAGGATAATCTCTGACTTCTCTCTTTGTCATACTCTTGCTTCTAATCCACCAACAAATCATACTCATTATGCCTTCAAAACGTATCCAGAATCTGAATGGACAGGTAGCATTTGTAGTGGATCAAACTTCCCGCAGACAATTGTAAGCTCTGGACAAAACGTAAAAGACAGCTACCTAAAGGCAATAGAGAGGGAACAAAAGCTTCTGGAGGGGAGTCACTTGGAAGAAAGGGGGGCATGGAGTAAGTTTTTCATCTTATTTATTTATTTAGACAAAATTTACCTTAAGGGGAGGCCCCACCTAGATCTTAGGTAACAATTAGAATTCTTATGAAAGCCTGCAGGATTGCTTGGTTAAAGAACCCGAGGACAAAATTCAGGGCAATCAGAGTATATTACTATGGTTTTATAACAAATTATCACAAATTTAATGGTTTAAAACAACAGCCACATATTATCTCACAGTTCCCATGGGTCACGAGTTGAGTGCAAATTAACTGGGTCCTTTGCCCAAGGTCTCACCAGACTAAAAAATCAAAGTGTCAGCTCACACTGCGATTCTCATCTGAGGCTCAAGTTCTCTTCCAAGCCCACCAGTTATTGGAAGAATTCATTTCCTTGTGGTTGTATGACTCAGGTCCCTGTTTTCTTGCCAATAGTTGTTTAGGGATGACTCTCAGCTTCTGGAGAACACCCACAGTTTCTTGCCACATGGTTCCTCTAAGTAGTTCACAGCATGGCCATTTGCTTTCTTCCTAGCCAGCAAGGACATGTTTCTCTTCTTCCTCTGTGACCAACTGGAGAAATAGTCTCTGCTGTTAAAGAGCTCATCTGGTTGGATCAGGCCTATCCTGATAATTTTCCTTTTGCCATGTGAGGAAACATAATTATTGGAGCAATATTTAATCATATTTGTAGGTTCTGCCCATATTCAAGGGGAGAGGGTCCTTCTTGGCATGGATACCAGGGGACTGGGATCTTGGGGCCATCCTAGAATCCTGCTTATCATCCACAGGCACTAGAAAATGAGGTGAGATCCTGGAAGAAAATGGTCTGAGGAAAGGAGTCTCAGAATCTGCATGTAAACGCTGTTTAAATCTCTGGCTGATCTCTGGACCACGTATGCAGGGAACAGAGAGGTTTAAAGAAGTGAACTGAGATAAGATCTTTTGCCTGATGCGGGGCATTGTTCTTACTGTTTTCTCAGACTGGAATTAACCAACTCTTACTCTCTGCCTGTAGAAATCCTCTGCCCTCTTCAAGTCCCAACTCGCAAGATACGTGCTTCTTGAAGTGTTTTAAGTGATTCCACAAAATAATTTTGTTGCACCTTTGTTTAGATTTACTTCATTCTTCCTTGTGTTAGAACTAGGTATTTAGGGATTCCTGGGTGGTGCAGCGGTTTGGCGCCTGCCTTTGGCCCAGGGCGCGATCCTGGAGACCCGGGATCGAATCCCACATCGGGCTCCCAGTACATGGAGCCTGCTTCTCCCTCTGCCTATGTCTCTGCCTCTCTCTCTCTCTCCCTCTCTCTCTCTCTGTGACTATCATAAATAAATAAATAAATAAAAGAACTAGGTATTTACATAGTTTTGCCACTACTGGAAAGTGCTTTGAGAGTAAGCAATGGCTTATTTACTCCTATATACCTAGCAGGTCTCATTGCAAGGGATAGCTTGTTTGAGCTCAAATTTGTTATATTAAATTGCATCGCGAAAAAAAATAAATTGCATCATGATAAAAAAATTATCCATAATCTAGCTCAATTTTTTGTTTAAGCCACCATTATCTCTTTTTTATATTATTATAATTGCCTTTTAGCTACTTTTGCTGCTTCTATTCTTTGCCTATCAAAAGTATTCCCAATATGGTAGCCAACCTACTGCTAACATATATACTCTATGGTGAAAAGCTCAATGTTTTTCCCTCTAAGTTCAGGAATAAGACAAGAATGCCCACTCTTGCCACTTTTATTCAACATAGTATTTATTAGAAGTCCTTGCTGGAGTAATTAGGCAAGAAAAAGAAATAAAAAGCATCCAAATTAAAAAAAAAAAAGCATCCAAATTAGAAAGGAAGAAGTAAAACTGTCACTCTTTGGAGATGGCATGATATTATACACAGAAAACACTTGAGACTCCACCAAAAACTGTTAGAACTGATAAGCAAATCTAGCGAGGTTGCACAAAATAAAACCAAATATATGAGAATCTGTTACATTTCTATAGATTAATAGTGGACTATCAGAAAGAGAAATCAAGAAAACAATACTATTTTTAATTACTTCAAAAAGAATAAAATTCTAGGAATAAATTTCACTCAGCAGGTGAAAGATCTGTGCACTGAAAACTGTAAGATGTTGATGAAAGAAATTGAAAAATACACAAATAAATGGGAAGATTTTCCATGCTCATGGACTGGAAGAATTAATATTATTAAAATGTCCACACTACCTAAAGCAATCCACAGACTCAGCGCAATCCCTACCAAAATCCCAAAGGCGTATTTCCACAAAAAATAGAAAAAACAATCCTAAAATTTGTGTGAAATCACAAGAGACTTCAAATAGCCAAAGCAATCTTGAAAAAGGACAAAGCTGGAGTCATCATGCTCTCCGATTTCAAACTATACTACACAATTATAATAACCAACATGGTAGCCAAAATAAGCATTTTATTATTTATTTATTATTTATTTATTTATTTATTTATTTATTTATGATTTTATTTATTTATTTGACAGAGAGAGAGAACACAGGAGTGGGGTGGGGGTGAAGGTGGGGTTGGGAGCCTGATGCAGGGCTCAATCCCAGAACACTGGTATCATGACCTGAGCCAAAGGCAGACACTTAACTGACTGAGCCCCCCAGCAGCCCCCAAAATAATCATTTTAAGATATACTACAGATGGAGTCATGCCACTCACAAAAGCCTCCAATTGTGCTCACCTGATTTGTATGAAAAGCAAAACCTTTCCATTCATTTGGAAGGCACGCATAGCCTGCCTTGCTATTGCCTGACTCTCCCTTCCTATGGTGTCCGTGGTCACGCTGACCTCCTCAGACCAAGCACATCATGCTCTGAGGGACTTTTGCACCTGCCATGCTCTCCACCTGGACTGGCCAGTGCTTTAGCTTCTCTGGGTCTTTGTTCAAGTGCTAGTTTATCATAGAGATTTTCCTTGTTCATCCTATTTAGAACCCCCAAGCTCATGCTATCTGCTCCTTTTCTTGCTTTATTTATTCTGTAGCACTTATTACCGGATGACTCACTACATATTTCCATATTTATTTATTCGTTGCCCATGAGGACAGGGATTTATCAGTGTCCCTACACTATCGTTGAGTGCCGTTAGCCGTGTTTCGGCCTATAGCAGGCAGTCAGTACATACTGTTGAACAGATGATAGAATTAATGGTTTTTTATTTTATTTACATTTTAAAAAAGATTTCATTTATTTATTCATGAGAGACACACAGAAAGAGAGAGAGAGAGAGGCAGAAGCACAGGAGGAGGGAGAAGCAGGCTCCATGCAGGGAGCCCAATGTGGGACTCGATCCCCCGTCTCCAGGATCAGGCCCTGGGCTGAAGGCAGGTGCTAAACCACGGAGCCACCCGGGCTGCCCTGTTTTATTTACATTTTATTTAGTTCTCAAACTGTTATTGTATAGGTAGAACATTTTATTATAATGTGCTTCAAGAATTCTGACGCCCTAAAATCAACCAGGGAATAAATACATTATAAATAAGTGGGCTTTTTTGGAATCTTCTATCCGAATGATGTTAGCATTTCATTGGAGGGCTGAAAAATCATAAAAATAACGGTAAAATTTAACATTTATTAAACACTTAGAGCATTCCACTTAATTTTTATAATATACTCTGTAACGCAGGCATCTGTTTATTACTTCCATTTTAAACACGAAAAGGCAAAAAGAGGGAAAAAATAATTCACCTAATAAATAATTCACACTAAGATACGATAGTCAGTAAACAGCAGAGCTGAATTCAAAGCTAGGTAGACCTTATGATCGTAGCGCTCCTTCCAACTCCCTCCTAGGTATGGCATCTAAATCTGGAAAGAATAATTCCCTTATACTTATGTAAAACTCAGCGCCTGAGATTAACTTCTGCGTACCAGAAAGAGCACCGGACAGAGAGTTAAAAGATGGGAGGTTAAATACCAAATAGTTACGTGACTTTAGATGGTTTATTAACCACTCCGAACTTCAGTCTTTCAGGCTCAAAATAAGTGGCAGAATTAAAAGAATTAAATAAGATAATGTATGTGCAGAAGTTCAGCAAGCTGTACAGTATTTTACAAAGTAATCTGATTTTTAAATAAACTATTCTAATGGGTGTGCGCTGGATATGCGCGCACTGTCTAAATCTATGGTCAAGTGCTTTGGAAGTTTGGATTAAATCATACACAAATTAAGAACTCTAGCTGTTTATCTGGCATCCTGTGAGAACCCAAGGTGCTCATCAAGTAGCAGGCATCACCCAAATGCCTCATGAGCCAAATCTACTGAAATCATGGATAATAAATGCCAACATCACGACGTGCCTCGCCCTGTCCTTTCAGGTGGATGGCTCCTGCTCTCTGCCCTCGTGCTGCGCTTGGCTTCAGCTTGTCCTGCCACATGCGCGGTGTGCACCAGGGATGGAACCCTCTGTCACCAGCTAACCTATATAGTAGGTAATAAAACCAACAACTCTACAAAAGCAGTGTTAAGTGTATCTGGCAAACTCGCTGCCATGGCTTTCGTCGTGCTGAGTGCTTTCTGGGCTCAGCCTGATAGAGGTTTGCTCTCAAAGAGCAAGCCTTTCCCGGCGACTCGATATTTTATTCTCCTGGTTCACCATTATTTTATTCTCCTGGTCATGGTGGTCTCAACCAAAACTACGTCAGGACCTTCAGAGGCAACTGAGATATTTTGCTAGTACGAAAGATCACTACCATTTTATGCAGCTACACAATTTCTTAATAAAAATCAGTTTTATTTTATAAAATAAAAATAAGTTTCTTTTTAATAAAAGAAAAAAAAAGCAGATCACTTTCATTATAATTCTTATTCATAGTTCTGTGCAGTTTTGAATCCGACCACTTGCTGGAAAAAAAAAATATCAATGAATCTGAAACCTGAACTGCAATTGTTCAGCATTAGTAAGATTAAGTGATGTACCAGCAAAACAGATGATTATCAAAGTGCATCTAATTTTGAAAGTCTAGTCTTTTTTTATTGGTGGTAAATGAGCTGTAGAAATGCTAACAAGATCCACTGCCTGTATTCATTACATATTGCTTGCTTAAGTCAACAATTTAATAAGACACCTTATTAACAAATTTGAGGAGAATGTGATTTACATCCCGATATCCAAGGAGAGATAAACAAGCTATAAGCTCTGCCAGTGGAAAATTTTCAGAAACAAGTCGGAGTTAAGATGGAGCGAAAGAAGGTGATTCTCTTCATTTCTAACATCCTATGACTTTATGAAAATTAAGAGATGGGAGTGATCGTCATCCCCGCCAGGAGAGAGACAGCTTCGAGGCTCGCTGGTCGTACCCGGTTTCCAATTAGTACCGAAGACACCTAAACGCTAACCTCCTGGCTCGCTCAACTAGATGTCCTGACTTCACCACCTTCTTACTTTTCCTGATCAGAGGTAGCGACGTCTCTAAGAAACAATCCCGCTCACCCACACGGCTGGGCCTCTCCTCCCTCTCCTCTCCACGACGCCGCATTCGCGAAGTGAATCCAGACACACAGAGAAGCCCATGGATGACTCGCGAGTGACGATCTGTCCCGACCTAGACGAGATGGGCGGCATCGATAGGCTCCCTCGGGGCCGGCAGGTCCCTGGAGAACTGGGGGACCCCTAGAAACACCACTCCCTCAGCCCATATCAAGAAGACAGTATTGAGGGAAACAAAATGCTCAACCGGCCTGAATGAACAGGATTCAAGTAATCAGAGATAAATGCTGTGCAGGAAACCCCCACCATGACTTAAGCTTGCTCGAGCCGTCGGGGGGCGGGGGGGGGGGCAATTCTTCCCGAAGAAGGCACCGTGAAAATCCTTTGTTTTTACATTTTTAAAAATCTCTTTGCTTGAGCGGTGTAGTCTGACTTTCATAAGGGGACTGAGATTTGCTTAGCGCCCCCCCCCCAGGCTGATTGCTCTAATATCAGCCGCAGACCTCCCAGGGACAGTGGACTCTTCCGTCTTCATGACACTGTCACTTGCCGTCAAAACAAGTTTAGCATGATAAAGATGTGTTACAATAACTCCTGATTATAATACATCTTTATTGAGTTAAAACGCTTTGATTTCTAATGACAGAGCGGTGATAGCTCCGAGGTGATTACGGCGAAGGGCTTTCACAGTGGGACGCCCTGACTGCCACCTGTCACCGGGGCTGGACTTCGCTGGAGGGAGCAGGGACTAGAGGGGAGGCCAAGGCGGCCCGGACTGCAGAGCGAGCCCTGGACAGATCCCGGGTCGGCTGGAGAGAATATAGGTCCCTACCAAGGCGCCAGCTTTTAGGCTGGAGCCAAGAAGCAGAAGCGGGGCCTCGTTCTCACTGCCCCCGCCCGTGCCTCTAGGTGAGGGAAGCGGTGACTGACGCCCGGGGTACCTGGACTTGGCTGGTGGCAGCCTGGCCGGGAGGCTCACACACAGGCCCGGGGGGAGGGGGTGTGGGGGTGACTGGGGGGGTCAGTCCTGGCCCTGGCCCAGAGGGCTCGGGGGTCGGGAGGCCTGGGAAGCCACCTGCGAGGAGACCTCAGCAGCGATCGTTCCCCACCGTGGATTCGCTGTCACATGGAAGGGAACAGATGGGTTTATGTTTCTCAAATAAACATGTCACGGAAACCAAGAACACAGAAATCCATCATTCTGATAAAGAGCCGGCCTCCTGAAACCGAGGCGCCGGCATCGTTGCCGCCGTGCTTTCTGCTCTCGGCAGGTGCCCGGGGCCTCTCGCCGCCCCCCCCCCACCGCGTCCCTAACCTCCACTCCAGCCTGTGCCTTTCTTCCCCACAGCGGCCCCGCGAGCACCGGGCTTGAGCGGCGCTGACGGCGACCCGTCCTCCCCGGGGGACACCGAGCGGCCCCTCTGGCCCGACCCCACCCCGAGGCTGCTGGGAGGACATCCTGCACCGCCGCCCCGGCCACCACCCTGACCTGGGCGGTCACCATCCTGGCCACCACCCTGGCCACCACCCCAGCCCTGGCCACCACCCTGGCCACCACCCCAGCCCAGGTCACCATCCCAGCCACTGCCCTGGCCACCGCCCCAGCCACCATGCTCAGGTCCCTGGCCCAGGCCACCACCCCAGCCACCACTCTGGCCACTGCCCTGGCCACCACCCCGGCCCAGGTCACCATCCCGGCCACCGCCCCGGCCACCATGCTTGGGTCCCCAGCCCAGGCCACCACCCCGGTCAGCGCCCCAGCTGCTGTACTTGGGTCTCCGACCCAGGCCACCACCCCAGCCACCACCCCAGCCACCACCCTGGCCACCACCCCAGCCACAGCCCCGGCCGCCCCACTCAGGTCCCCAGCCCAGGCCACTGCCCTGGCCACCACCCTGGCCACTGCCCCAGCCGCCGTGCTCGGGTCCCCGGCCCAGGCCAGGTGCCACCCCGCGCTTCCCAACCTCACCGTGCTGCTGCGGGACACGAGTCCCCGCGTCGCGGGGCAGGACGTGGCCCTGCTGACACTCCTGGGCTTGGCAGGTACGCTGGGCCCCGGCGCGGCCGCCCCCTCCGACGTGGGACATTCAGGGATGCAGCCTCGGCCGGCAGGCGGCTGGGGGAGCACCAGGGCCGGGGTCAGGCTGTGGTGTGAGCGGGCGGACGGGCTGGCCCAGCAGCGGGCTAGGTAGGGGCTTCCTGGTGCAGGGGGGCTGTGGGGCGGGGTGGGGGAACCCCAGGCCTCTATCTGGCTGTGACCACTACTCCTAATTCTGTTACCTTGCTACTTAGACCCCAGTTTTCTTTTTCTTTTTTTTTTTTTAAGATTTAATTTATTTATTCATAAGGGACACAGAGAGAGAGAGAGAGGGGCAGGGAGCCTGAGGCGGGACTTGATCCCGGGACCCCAGCATCACGCCCTGGGCCGCAGGCAGACGTTCAACCGCCGAGCCCCGCAGGCGGCCCTAGTCTCCAGTTTCCTTGCCCGGAATGCAGGCTGCTGCCTACATTTTACCAAGCCTCCATTCGCCACGGAGAACCGGGACCTTCATCATAACACTAGAAATAGGGATTAGAACGTGATGGAAAGACTTGGGGTCCTTCCTCGGGGTACCCACATCTGTGTGCCCCTCTGCAGGACACCAGGAACCAGCGGGCCGCACCAGGCCGGGCCACCTGCTATGGTGCTGGTGCCGCACACTGGTCAGGTGCGTGAGCCCCGCCACCAGGTACCCAGGTTGGGTTTTTTTGTTGTTGTTGTCTCATGAGAGACACAGAGAGAGAGAGAGAGGCAGAGGCACAGGCAGAGGGAGAAGCAGGCCCCATGCAAGGAGCCCGATGTGGGACTCTGGGATCACGCCCTGGGCCAAAGGGAGGCGCTAAACCGCTGAGCCCCCAGGGATCCCAGGTTACCCGGTTTGAATCCCATACCTCCTAGACTGACTAAGAGGAAGATAATCTTCCAGTCTTTAGTTTTCCTGAGGTAGTGTGCACATTTCTAACTACCCATTAGTCATTGTTAACTCTCACTGGATGAATGGTGTAGAGCGACACTTCGCATCACTAGTCAAGACCAAAAATACAAGAGATTTCTTGAGTGATCTACCTGGATGTGTGTTTTTCCCGTCATGCTTGCAGTGCATGGTGAAATCCTTTGTGCTTGTGGGTAACCATGGTGATGAGAGGTGTGTATGTGTGTGTGTGTGTGTGTGTGTGGGGGGGGGGTGCCCCAAAGCTGGAAGACCAGAGGCTTGCAAATGACATCCAGGACTGAACTGATGTATTTTGAATATGTGCTATAAGAAATTATTCCCTAGCAGGTTTCCAGTGAGACCTGAACATCAGATTTTTAACTCCTGACATTTAACACTTTTAAGCAGGATAGATGGAGAGTGGCGTCAGGTCTAAACAATGGAACTACCACCGGCAGTAATCAGATTCAGCTGGAAATGAATCTAAATCCTTCCAGAAAGATGAATTGTTTTTTAAAAAAAACAAAAAACAAACAAACAAAAAAAAACAAACCTGTGTAACCATGTCAGGAATTGAATGTTTTTTTTTTGTTTGTTTGTTTGTTTTAGGAATTTTATGTGTTAAGGAATAATTTACCATCAAAGACAAAAGCAGTAGGGCAGGGAGTTTTACCTCCCAAGTGCTGGGGTACGGGAACTCCAACACTAGTTCTGGGGAGTAATTAATAGGTGGGTCCAATGGAAACACACGCAGACGCCCGTGTAAACAACATGTTGCAGGGTTCAAATAGATCTGGGTAACGCTGGATTGAACAAAGCAAAATAGGCTTCTTTACTACAGCATTTTTCTCTCTGCCTTTCAGTTTCTAATGAGCATTATGAATCCTTACGAGGAAGATACAATGTGGAGCATTTCTCCAATCCATTTAACCATTAGCTGTGTTTTTTTTTTTTTTTCCGCAGAGGATTTCGTTAAATCTGCGTTTTTGTAGGGCATCATTTTGGAAATATTACAATAGACTAATTTTCAGTATCTTCTGGGTATTTTTAATATCTATTCTCAGAAAAAAAAATTACTGCCAACTTACATTAGTGTAGAGATAAGCATAAATTCTGGAAGATTCGAAGGTTTTGTCGATAATAGGAAGCTTATTGTGCGGGGACAAATCCTGATAAGTTAAAAGTATGATTATACACACGTTAGGTTATAATGTGTGAAAGTATCATAATGTATCTTTCATCGAGTGATTGTCAAGGATGCTGTTTTTAGGAAGAATTTGTCTTTGAAAAACTCTGATTTTATACAATTTATTCTATTATGATTCTACTACCCCCCTGAAGTAGAAGTGTAGCCAATCATCTCTCCCTGTAGACGGTGGGGGAAAGACTTAGAACGATAATTTGACCCCTGATTTTCTTTCCTTCTTTGGCTATAGATGAATCACCACACAATTTCAGGGACTATAAATAACCTTATTCAGGGAATTTAAAACTAATAAGTGGTTATTTGTCATCAGACGCTGACATCTTAAAGCCTCCTATTCTGTGAATTGGTGGATGGATGAAAGGAGAAAGATTTCACGACGCCGTAACATTTCCAATGAGGACTTATCATTAAATTCGCTTTTGGTTGTTGCTGTTGTTGTTTTTTCCAACTCGGAAAGATGGTTAGAACACTTTTTAAAAATAGCAACAATGCCCATGGCAGCGAAAATTCAACCGTCTTCTTAATAGCACGTTCAGCCTGCCTACAAGCTTCATTTGCTGCCTTTTGCTCTCTGCACTAATAGGAAGTGACCACACCTGAGTGGTAATGTGATGCAGACAGAGCTCTGGCATCGACAGCAGGAGAGTGAGTGGTTCCTTGCCGTTTGGACACAATTAGGAAACTTTCCCCTATAATCATATTATGCTTACTCTCATTTCAATGGCTGATGCACGTGTTTAAGAAACTGTGGGTCTTTCTTTCCTTTATTATTTTGGAGACGTTGTTTTCCTTTATTCTTTTCCTTGATTATTTTGGTTAGTAACTGCATCAGTCATACAAAGTATTCTCTTAATGATTTTATTTTTTGGACTTTTTCCTTCAACCCGCCGCCCCCCCCCAAAAAAAAAACAGCTGAGTCTTCGAGGACCTAAATAGGGCAATATTGAACCGAAACAGCAGCAGCACCAGCAATCATAACCATAAACCATAATCACGATCCACTGAACCTTACTATTATTACTAAAGTGCTGTATCAAATATGTCACATCTATTATTTAATTACGGAGTGGCATTAATCATCCCTGTTTGACCGAGGAAGGAAAAATAAGGCTCAGAGAGGTTAGAAAACATACCCACAAAAAGTGGCACAACAAAGCTTTGAATCCCGAGTTTTCCTACTGCATGTGAGACATACGGAGTGTTTCTAAAATTGTACTATTTTCCTCTGTTTTTAACATTTTAAAGCCAAAAGTCTTCTTTGGAATTACCCGAGCTCTAGGCAATTGAATGTTGGATCTGACTTTTGCTACTACTTTATAAAAATGTTGTGTCTTTAGTAGAGATGAAATTATTTCAAAACGTGACAACACTAAGGAATATATGTTGTCGATAAATTCTAAGACCTCGAGACCTCTTAAACTACCCAAAGGTTGAAGGTTTTTAACCAGAGACAGCTATTCACTTTGGTTAGTCTTCATCTAACATAGAAATGCAGCAATCATGCCCGAACACTTTCTCTTTTCTTTCACGTTCAAATAATATCACGTTTTCATTAAAGTTGTCTGCAAAGGAGGGAAGCAGGCATGGAGCAGTCCATCAAAAGGTCTAAAATGCTGACATCCTCCTCGTTCGCTGTCCTTGTTTCTGGAGTCAGGAAACTGACTTGCCTAAGGTCACGCAGCAATTTATGGTCAGAGCTGGACTTAGCAGACTTGGCTCCTAATTCAGTTGATCCTGATGCCCTGACTTCCCCGTCACCATTTTGGGGATTTGTAGGATTTGACGGCTGCTGAGTGCATTTCATTATTAGAACTCATAAACAGAATCTCTTCTGTTTAAGAACATGCAGTAAACCATTTCTGGAGTGCCTGTGCCAGAGCTGAGGGGACGGGAGGGAGATAGAATTTCGAACAAGACCACAAAGGTCCATTTCCTCACAGTGCTTAGTTCTAGCAGGTGGGGACAGTGAGCAAGCAGGCGAGCAAGTGACCACAGTAATTCTATACTGTTACAAGTCCTAAGAAAAGAGGAAATCTCTGTGACAGAGAGGGAGTTGGGGTAAAACTCAAGAGACATTGGCTTGAGCATCGTGGCAGGTGAGCATGCCGTTCGTCAGCATGGGACACAGTGATGCTGACACAGGTTAGACTCTGCGTGTGGGGTTGAGCAACACTCCCCTTCATAGTTTTATTTGGAGGATGAGCTGTGTATACATAGAACGTGAAAGGACGGTACCAGACAGTCCGAGTTTAGGTGTCAGTCATTATTTCGTGGCAGTTCATAGGAGGGAGCGACCTTTGCAAGATGGAAAAAAAAAACAAAACAGCAAAAGTATCAAGAAATTTAGAGGCCCTTAGTTTTTAGACAATAAATAAATTTCAAAAGAGATAAATTCCAAGCAAGCAGAAATTAGAGAAAGCACCGTACGCATAACGAGGGGCTGCACGAAAGCTTAGGAATAACTTAAGGATAATGAACTGAAGAGTTTGAAGCACAGTGTTTAAATAATGAGAAATGAAAAATGAGGGAAAGGAGGGCGGTCAGGGCCAGATTGCACCGAATCTTGGAGGCGCAGGAGTTTGGGCCTTACGCTAATAGGAAGTCAACGACTTTTTCTGAGACAGGCGGTGGATCTTTAGGGATGATGAAAATATGGCAATAGGAGGAGGTTATGGTATATGGGAATTTCAGGGCATGTATTAAAGGTAGTCTGTTTTTATTCATTATGGGATTAAGAAGGAGGAAATTTGGTTTCTCATGGCAGAACAATGATTTTAATGCAAGAATTATTTTGTCTTGAATCAATCTCAGTCCACAAACAGAAAAAAGAAAAACCCTTTTTTTCCACCAAAGGCATTCCAGATGGTATTTTTCTTAAAATTTTTCATAGCTACAAAGGCAGATCCAAATTAACAAACAGAACAATGTTGATTAAATAGCCTCTGGACGGACGGATAAGTTTTCTACATGGTGATAGACTTCCCACCCATTCTGATGCCCTTTAAATCATTAACCTTGATATTTGTGGTTTTCACATTTGGTGATTTATAGGTTTCTTCCTCTGATGTTATCTTTTAATGGTCTCTCTATTTGTCACAGGAGCTGTTGGTCTCACTTGCCTAGGTTTAGTTGTATTTAACTGGAAACTCCAACAAGGCAAAGCAAATGAACACACATCAGAAAACCTTTGTTGCAGAACCTTCGATGAATCCCTGTGTGCTCATGAGGCAAGAAATTACCACGCTAAGGGATACTGTAACTGCCACTTAGCTCAGGAAAACGAGATAAAGGTCACGTCCATTGTGGGGTCCAGAAAGGAAATGCCACTCTTACAGGAAAACAGCCATCAAGCAGCCCTGGCCTCTGAGTCCACAGCCCTTGACGGATCATTTAGAAACCTGAAAGGGAAAGACCATGGGGCGGACAGCACTTTCTTCTGCTTTGGTGGCAGACTGCTGCAGTCAGGACGTTCAGAGCCTCCTGGGAATATGGCAGCTTTTAATGAAGCAGGCTTCCTTACAAGGTATCCAGAGAGAGTTAAAAAGCTAAGGAATCATGAGCCTGGGGAAGTCCAACAGCCAACTGTGCCACAGCATGTAACAAGAACAATAGGTGAGTTGTCTTGTTTTAGAAAATCCCACCCTGTGTAAATTCCTCTGAAAGAGGTAATCTCCTTTAATTTTCCCAACAGCGGCATGCTATAAAAATCACTGGGTAGCACCCAGTCTATCCTTCTAAGGACTTTAGACCCGGGTGTGTGTGTGCATATGCGTGTGTGTTTGGGGTAAGGCGTCCATGAGGACTCACCCCCTACCCTCAGGAGCTGAGGGTAAGTATATCTTATGCCTGTTGGAAAGTGAATCTTTGTGACCCAATGCCTAACAGGTGTTTTTTTTTTTTTTTGAAAAGAAGACTTTTAAATAGCACTAAGCTGTTAAGATTTATGGGAGGCTGAGTATCAGCTTCTATTCCAACATCCTTCGAGCTCTAATGCCAATTCTGCAGTAAGCAACCTTCTCAGAGCATGGCATGTTAGAAGAATGGGCCTTCTAGTGCTGGTGATTCATTTCAGGAATGATGTCAAGACACACACTTTGCTTGCTGAGCTGTCAGGGATGATAACTTCCCAGTCCAAGGAAAGTCAGGACTTAATTCATCGTCCCATGTTGGGAGCCAAGTGAATCTGGCCGTGACATCTACCCACTGTACCTGGGCAATGTCAATATTTAGGTGGAGGCAATGAATTAAATGTCTTCCTTTTCCTTCCTGAATAGTGAGGTGATGCTTTCAGGCTCAGCAGTGAAAACTTTGACAGCTTCTCTGTAAAGAGGTTCCTGACATTTATTCAAATTGGTTTACAATAAGCAGAGCTTTCTCCTAGAATACGGATGGTGGAGGTGCTACGCCAAGAGATTCTCACCATGGGGATAAGGCCCTTAAGATAGATTTGGGGATGATTGGAAAAGAATGAAACTGTGTGTTATGTCACATGTGGCATAAGGCAGGATGTGAATATATTCCATTGCATTCCACAGACTCTGGTTCTTACTAGTTTCTGGGGACTGATGATTTGACTCAAGAGAGGAATAGCCAAGAAAATAAAAAAATCTACCATAGAAACCAGATCAGACTGGCTTTATTTGAGAAAGGAAGAAGCACTTACCCTTCCAATGGAGCCACACCTCAGGCAGATGTTTACCTTTGTCCAATGCCTTAACTTTTCTGTGGGAAACTCTTACACTGAAGGGAATGTTGTCTTTTCACGATTTAAAACTCAGTCTCTACATATTCACACAGAGAATACATTTGTTTGTCAAATCAATATATATACTTTTCAGAAAGATTTGAAATTGTGCTCCATGCCAGGCCTTGTCCTGGAGATGAAGAGGACAGGTGTTTGAGGAGAAAACAATAAGGCCACATCTGCTCTAGAACACTAAGAGGCACTGTTACTCTGGTTATGTCTTCAAACATGGAAATGCAGAATCCCAGTATTTCAGGAGGAGGGGAGGCTTTAGAGACAATCTAGTTCAATAGTTCTGAATATTTATCTTTGAGTCACAGAACTCTCTTAGAATCTGAGAAAGGCTAACATTCTTTCCCCAGAATAATTTAATAGCCGCATAAAATTCCCATCTAAGTCTTATCTCTTGATACCCATTGGGTAAGTAGCTTCTCCAAGGTCCCCCAGAAAGTTAAAGGCAAATCTTAGCATTAGATGGTAGTGTGAAGCTGAGCTTGCTCTTCCTTTCTGTCTCAGAAATACTCCTTTCTGTCAACAGAAATACTTATTTCTTCCTCTGGATAAAACAAACAGTGTCAGAAAACAAGAGAAAGGACACTGATAAGACGTAATTTTAAACCTAATTTGCATTGTGCCTAAGAGGATAGGGTTTAGAGTCAGAAAGACCCAAGTCAAGGTCTGCCCGTATCATTAGAGGACATGTGATAGGGGGAAAGCTTTTCACCTCCCTAAGTGGCTTTCCTCATCTGTAAAAGTGATAGGACAACAGGCCTTGTCCAGTGGTCAGATCTCTTGTAAATATTAAATGAGATAACGAAGGTATAGCACTTAACACAGTGCCTGGCTCTTGGTAGATGCTTAATTAATGGTAAAAAAATACTATTATTTTTGCTATTAGTGTTATTTAATAAGTATCATTAATATCATATTAACATGTATCATTTAACATTCACAGAGAGAGAGATTCCTGCAATACAGACCAGGCCATTTTCCAAAATAATCATTCATTCAACAGATATTTAATTAATACTATATTAAATGATGGGAAATAAAACAGGTATAGTTTCTGCTTTCATGAAGCCTATAGTATCACAGAGATTTTTATTTGTTGCTGAGGTTATCCTGTGTTTGAAACCTAAACGCTAACCAATATAGTATCATATTCTTCCTAATATTTAGTTCCAACTGGGAAATTCGTGCAGAAAAAGTTGTGATGGCCATTCGAAGAGAGTTTAGGTATTATTCATATCTAAAGCTAACCTAACCAACAACTAATGTAAAGATGTACAACTATGAATGTTTTTAATTCCAATTCCAATTCTGTAACTTTTAAGTCAGCACCACAACTAATTAGAATGTGGCCGTAAAGAGTAGCTTTGTAAACACACTAAGCTGCGCCAAGTCCTTGGTGGTTTGGTTAAAAATTAGGAAGTACTCAAGAACTGACGTAATCAGAGGACTCATTTCTGTACCTTGCATAAGGTTTTTAAGCATCTGTTTGGTTGGGTAATAAAACTCTGCTCAGTACTAAATTTCTACATTTATTGTTCAGCAGATATCAACGGTGACACATTTAGTAGAAGATATGCAACATCCGCTTCAGCGTTGGCAAGAGAAAGTCTTGAAAAGCATTTAACAAATGAATCATGGCAGCCTCCAATAGAAAAAAAAGACAATGGCTTACAACCTCACAGCCTGAGACATTTTATTACAGGCTCATCATCCAAGCCTTGTGAGCCTGAGGAACGCTGTGTACAAAAGATCTTACAAAAACATAGATCAAAATATGATGATCCTTGTGGACTGTTAAATCGGAGCAGGCCTCGCTATTTTCAGCCAAACAATTCTCTTATCTGTAAATATGTGCCCTGTGATCAATTTCAAGATTATGTGAAAGAAAAGAAGCCAAGTCGTCAAGAACATTCAAAGGCCAAGAAAGAGAAAATCCAAATTAACAGTGCAATAGAAAAATTCCCTATGAGTGAGGACAACTTGGAGCCATCAAGGTTATCTACAAAAATCAAGAGAACATATTCCCCCAAGAGGGTTAGCTTCTGTGATCCTGATTTAGTAGAAAAAAATAGCTTGGTGATGTCATCCAGAACATCAACCCGTTGGAAACAGCAGGAAAATCAAAGCAGCCACCTGACCAATTTGGATCTCAAAAAATGTGGCGATCCTCAGGAGGGAGACAAAGAAGGAAGATGGCTTACTGATCCCCAGATTCTGAAAAAGAAGAGAACCAATCAACGTGATCTCCAAGGGAAAATTAAAAAACAAAATTCAAGGATAAAATTAAATCTACACGGTTTTAGAAAAGTCAAAGTCCATCCAGAAAAATCCTTGCCAGGACTCCAAAAGAAATGCAGACAAGTATTGTTACCGCCTAGTAAATTATCTAAAGCTTCTCAGAGAGAAGCCAATACAAACCATGTGTCCTCTGCAGATTTTCCCCAACGGCCAGAGGGTAACTCTGTCAAACTCACTTCAAAGAGTGTGCCTCTCAGATGTGCTCCAAAGCAGACCTCATATTACCAAGAAAACACTAAAAACATTGCTCTGCTCTGTGCTAATGGCTTACCTGCAGTCAACCAGAGCTCCAGGGAAGGCAACTGTCACCCGACTGGCCTCATTCCTGGTAGCAGTGCACCGACACTGCCTCTGCCCACACCCATCATAGCTGAACACGGACATTCGGCCTCTCAGTTTTCAACTGAGCAAATGGAAGGTGCAACTTCCCTTGCATTGGAGGTGCCTAGGTGTTTACCAGCTACTTGGGAAAATAGAGGCAGTGATGTTTTACCACCCAGCAGTTCCAGGGGGGCTACTGACCAAGGGGCCACAGAGCCCACGAAGCCCATGAAGCCCATGAAGCCCATGGAGCAGGACAAACCAATAACCATTGATCCAAATCAGTTTTCTTTGTCCCTGGGGAATCAAACACAGCTTGCAGTTGGCCACAAGACTGACACCTACAAGGAACACACTTTAGATCAAAACGAAACCTTCAAACATGTAGAACAACATCCTAGGCATGAACAATCTGGAAATGAGGAGGAAACGCTAATGACCAAACGGAAAATATCACGTCAGATTGTAGAGAGTTGTATCGTGGATGAGGGAAATGACGTAGGAACAAAACTTCCTCAAGCAGAAACTTAACGATTCCCTTCTCCTTTGCTCTGAGGCACAAGCCAACCGTGACCTACCACTGATGAAGGCAAATGCTGTTCCATTCCAAAATAGGACAGAGATTCCCAAAGAAATGAGTACTTCTCCTAAGACCCAAGCCATCTGGAATCTAACCGATAGTGGCAAAAAAGAAACTGAGGGCTCGAATGCGTTGCCCAGAGGTGGTGGCAGTGAAACACCATGTATGAGGAAAATATTAGGGAAAGAAGAGAAGAAAGTCCTTGATGAAAACAAGCCAGATTCTAGTACAGTAATGAGAACTGCACAGGTGACCTTAAAAGGCAGCACAAAAGAAATGCAGCAAACTTGGGAAAATGGACAAAGGGAAAAGCATACGTTGTATGATTCAAGCTCTGCTGAGGCCACTATTACAGCTAAGGATTTGGGTATCCCGCGTTCCCCTGGGGCTGAACATAGACCTTCTTGTGATGAAACAGATCTTTGATTTAACAGTACTATGCAAGTTTTGGGCAAATTTCGCAATATGCAACCAGATAAAAGTGGCAGTACGCATAAAGAAGGTGCAGGGACAGTGGAGACGCGTGAACTGCTTTCCTCCTTACTGGAGTTAAAAGACATTAGTTTTGTGACAAAAAATAGGGGGCCTCTAATGCCTAGAAGACTAGATGAAGCTGAAAACGCTGCCCCCCCCCACCTACGCTGTAGCCCCCATCTGCTGATGATGCTAACCCACCACCTTTAGAGACAGAACTCAACTAATAATCGTTTTCTACTGGAGCTTCCTTCGAAAGGACACAGGGGCACCCTCTGGTCTTTACAGGCATCCCAAATGCATTACTTTGGAGGCACATTTCTCAGTAGCTTTTTGTTATCAATGCAATAAAAGTGCATGATGGAATGCGATGGGAAAATCAAAGATGGAGCCGCAAGATGTGTTTGACACAATTAATTGAGTTTGCTTCTCCAAGGAATGAAAAAAAAAAATAGGAAAGTAAAGTTTTGCCCGGTCTTGGAAAAAGAAAGCAAACAATAAAGAAAACGGGGGAAAAAAAAAAAGCCTTAAGCAAATAAAAGATTAAATAAGAAAAAAGTACTTGAACAGATTTGCACTTGATGTTTATTTTATGGAAATTACTACACACATCTCAATTAGTGGTGTTACAATATTGCTTTCTACACAGATGATTATATATTCATATTTGTGCCTGATCTGTTTTCCTAATTATGGTTTGAAAATAAAAATTGAGCTTTGTTTGTTCACTGTCGTCTAGTTGATATGCATATTGGTATATTTCAACCATTTGCAACTGTTCTGTTGACAATTATCTTAGATCTTAAGTAGAGTTTTTTTTTTTTTTTTAAACCTGTTATTTCTCTAGGAGAAAAAAAAATTAAGGATTTCCAGGGGTGGTAGGCAATTTCTGTGAAACCTGTTAAATCCTCTAAATCCACTAGGTGGGGATGTCGGCTTCAATCATTTTAGAAGAACAAATGGGGCTTCAAGATCCACACAATGGATCCCGAACAAAGGGAATTTTAACAAGCTTTACTGACAATCGTTATTAACTTAAGATTTTGAAAACTGGATAACCTTTTAGTGTGTTTAGCTTTCAAGGTTTGATCTCTTGAGTTTAGCCTGTCACTATTGTTTGGTGTGAGTACTCCTCCTTGTGTATTAAACAAGGAATTAAACGTCCTTATAAATACGAGATTTAAAAGCAAGAGTAGAACCAGCATCACTCATTCAAAGCCACGCTTATTGGAATGATACAGGGACACCCCACACAACTGTGTTTTTGATAACCCAGTAACACCTTGAAAGCATACTTTCATGGTAGAGGATATTACAGTATTTTACGTTTCCCGGTAGGGGAAAAAAAGGTAGTACTTTCTCTTCCTCTATCTATATCCATTTTTACATATTCTATACATTTACATAGTTTCTAATATATTTTTATACATCAGTATCTTTATATCTGCATTCGGCAATATCGTCAAGCTTCAAAGGCTAGAGAACAACGTAAATATTGCTTACACGCCCCACCTAGCCTCTGTTTTCTTTCCTGTTGAGAATTGCCAGCAAATGATGTAACTTTCTTATTTTGAAACTCCCTAACCTTATTCCCTCTCTTCTTTCTGTTTTCTCCCTGGATTCAAAATTTCCTTGCTTTTAACTCCAACTCCTCTCCCCTCTATTTTTGCTCAGCCTCTCTGCCTGAGCTTAGCTCCTGTGCCATCTGTCTGCCTCCCCTGATCCCACTTCATTTGGTTAAGCGCCTTTAAGGTGAGAAGAGCATCTATTGCCAACTTCTTGAGCAATAACTTTATTCTAATTGACAGTTCCCTCAGTTTTGTAGACCAGGTTAGGTGGGTTTTTGTTTTGTTTTGTTTTGTTTTATCTCTTGGTAGCTATCTTTCTTTTCCCCTTTGCTTTGATTTTTCTTTCTTTTATTTTAGGCACCTTCACTTTACTGCAGAGCGCTCAGCTTTGTTCTCCTGTCACTGCCAACAGCATCCTGATACCTAATGGCCTAACGATTACTCTGGTCACTAGCCGATTCTCAGGAGGCAGGGATGACAGCTTTCCTGGGCCCCTTCCTCTTTTCCATTTCCTAAATCCAGTCTTTCACCTCCTTAGGATGTTGTTTCCTTTCAAGTAGTTCTCCAGTTTACCCTTGCTCCTGAATCCCCATGGTAACCATTGTAGTCTTTGTGTTGTAATCAACTGGATTAATGCAATAGCAGCCCAGCTGGACGCTTTGACTTCAGTGTCTGTTGCTCCCGTTTCAGCCCACTAGTTCTCTGCTTTTACTGGGCACAAATTGCCTGAGGTGCTTGTCAAATGCAAAGTCCCAGGCTCCATCTCAGACATTTTGATTCAGTAGATTTAGAATAGGGCCCCAGAATCTTCGTTTGAACAAATACTGCCAGGTAAACTGGAGCATGTAATGTGCAGCCCCCACGTTAAGAAACAATGCCCAAATATCCCAATCACACTAGAAGATAAATCAGTGCCTGTCTCACTATAGGAACCAAATAAAATTCTTTGAGTAAGTTATCAAACCTTGTCATACCAAATTCAGATGAATTTTCAAAAAGTATATAGTTTTATCCTATCTCTGCACGCTTTAAAGACAAGAGCATAACTGCCTAGGATTTCATAACCAAATTCCCTATTCTGGTTTCCAAAGCTTTCCGATATCTGATCTAATAGGACTTTTTTCTTTTTTTTTTTCCACCTCTCACAGTTTTCCAACCAGCATTTCCCATTCCCTACAGGCTGCTGTTCTCACTGTCCGCTTCCTTCTTTGTAGGTCTTGACCAGAAAGACACACATAGGAGATAGTAATGTGCTTCAAATTCAAGGAGTGAGGCAAAGACAAATATGAAAGAAAGAATGAGTGGGGAAGTTGGTAAGCTAGAAGCAAGGCCCAGGAGAGCGTGGTGTTAGGGTCTTAGAGCTAAAGATGAACAGCGGCTGCAACGTTCTAACTGATCAGTCTCTCCCTCGTGTCCTTTCTCTCAATGAACTGGCCCATGTTCTCTTTGCTTAGACCGTTTTTCTCTCTCCGCAACCCTCTTCATTCAGCAAACTTCTATTTATGCTGCTGGTCTCAGCTCAAGTCTCACTCCTTCCAGGAAGCCTTTCCTGACCAGCACTACCTCTTTGTCCCTCACCTGTCAGTTCCTTTAGTGTGCATTCTCATCTCATCTGATTTCCCTTATTTTGGCTTATAACCATAAAATCATAAAATCATCAATGTGTTCATTCAGTTAATCCCTATTTGGCTACTAGGCCTCACTTAGGCTCCACGGAGAGCGCGTCTCCATTGAATCCCCAGCGCTCGTTCCTGGGGCTGTGGATGGTAGAGACTCAATAAGTAATTGCTGAAGGAAAGAATGAAAAGTAGCCTATTGTTTCCTTGTCCTCACCACTGAGCCTAGTCCCACGGTGATGATCTTACTGGGCACTGTGATGAATTCTCAGGAACATCACTTCCAGCAGCTCGGCTTCATAATGCTGAGATGATACCACGGCCAAGCCAGGGCCCACCTGACTGGTAAACCCAGATATAGCCAGTCAGAGACTGCTTCCCTCATCCTTCTCTCTGAATTGCGTTCCCAGAGCCCAGGCCCTAGACTGATAGGTTTTGCAGCTTAGCAGTAAGCTAAGCACTGATTTTTGGCCTTGTAGTATTTTTTTTTTTTAAACCTTAAATGTACCCTCCTTTGGCCCTAATCTGGTTCTCTTATTTCCTAACCGGTTATTTGTGACATCCATTCTAACCCCCCTAAAATGCTTTTAGAAGTTCCTAATAACTTGCTTTTATCTCCAAATGAAAACTTCCATATGTCCCTTATTTATAATCATAATCATGAAGAACCTATTAATAAAAGAAAAAGGGGATGTCCTCGTTGTTTAGTTTTTAAGTTATACTTTACGTTATACACACCAAAGAGAGAAGGAAATTCTGAATTAGCTTTTTTGACATGCTTACTCCTAGAAAATATGCCTGACATTCATATTGAAAAAATAAGGAAAGCTTTTCCCAAACGATTTTAAGTCTTATAATTTTCAAGACAAAGTTTTGGGACACTGAGATTCAGATGAGGGGATTGGAAGCTTTGATAAGCAACAGTTGTACTCACTCATTTACTTAAAAAAATTTTTTGAACATCTACTGGGTGTGGTTCTAGGTGCTGGGGTTACAGCAACGAACAAAACGAAACAAAAAAGTCCCTGCCTTCTGGTAGCAAGAGCAGATTCGACACCAATAAATACAAAATCTGTCAAATGGCATGTTCAGGAGAAGAGGTTATTTCTTTTGAGATTATTCAACCCACATGCCATAATAATCTTTATTTTTCTTCTTAAGAGTCTCCACGTACATTTGCAGGGTTGTGTAATAACTTGGCCTGATTTTTGCCTTTGGGGAACTTCACTTTCTCTTTCCAAAATCTGTTTGTTTGTTTTTTTAATTTTTTTTTTTCTCTTTCCAAAATCTGGACTGGGGCTCATCCTATTTCTCCTTTGGTGAGGTACTTCCTGAGTTAACAACAGCTACACTTTTATGAGCTATTGTGAACTAATTCCCTCTGCTCAGAGCAGAAGAATCAACACGGGCTGATGTCAAAACACAAGGATTTCAACAGACGACAAAACCTGCTGGCAGGGAGATTCTTAGACGTGGTACTAAACTGTGTTATCGGGAGAGCAGTTGTGGAGTCTCCTTCTTTGTCATTCTCTAAGAACGAAGTAGACACTAAAATGCCTGGTACCCTAAAGAAGAGTCCCTTCCTGTAGACACGTGGTCTGAGGGTCTTCATTTTGGGATTATATGAGTGCTACGTGTAATAGTCTTAGATCTATGATCGTATTTCTTTTTTTTTTTTTCAGTTTACATATCCTACTTTATTTACTCCTTCCACAGCATCTATTCTTCCATCTGTGCTCCTCACCACCTTATCACATAGCCACTCAGAGAGTTAGGGGAGGACCCCTGTCCTCCTGTGTGAGCCCGTGCTACTAAAGACCACTTGTCATGGGGTCTTTGCCTGAAGGTCTGCCTCCTGGTGAAAAGCCACACAGATCCATCTTGTGTCAAACTTCTTTCTTCAGAAAATGACTAAGTGTGGTTCAAGTGTAGTAGTTAATAAAATTGCAGCTGAGATGAGACTGTGAGTCATCTGTCATCCCCTGGTCTCTCTTTTGCTAATCAGTTGTGAGAAACATGTTGAAATCAGAGAGCAGCAGCAAAGAAATATGAGATACTCAGACTTCTTGAAGCAATTAGAGACTAAAGAGCAGAAGGCAAATCAGTCTTCCTGCCTTGACAGTCTTAAAATACACACTGAAAGTAGACTTTGGAGTTACACTACTTGTGACAGATTTTGACCATAAACACATTTTCTAAGAGGAAATAAAAATTACTCACTTCAGGACATGCATTCCACCCTCGCATCAGCAGAGACGATATGGGCTTGGGAATGGAATAGCCAATGGGAGGTCTGAGATGGTGGTAAGCCATGTCTGCTGCAGCAGCCGCTGCAAACCAAAGGATCACGTCAGTTTTGAAATTCACATATTTACTTCAAGAAACATCTGAACAGACAAAAAAAGTCATCAAAAATCAATCTGTAAACATCAGCAGAGATTCAAAGCTAGCTCTATGCTATATTTTTTTAATGCTTAAACAAAATGTTGGATAATTTGATACCGTAAGTTTATCATTGTTCATTCTTTCAGTTGTTTATTCAACAAATTGTGAGCAGAGGGGATTTATCAGGATCAAAAAAAAACATACAAAAGAACATACCGATAGCAAGCGGTTTCGTGTGTCTGGAGTATAGGGTATATACGTGACATTACAGGAAGTAAAGAGTGAAAGATTGCACGGTGTCGTAAATCTCGGGCTAAAAAGCTCATACTGTACGCGGCGAGATGTGGGGTGCCACTGGACTTTGCAATTCTGAAAGCACCCATATCGCTTGGGCAATATAGATTCTTTTTTAAGCTTAACTACCCTTACTGGTTATAAGAATGTTGGGATTTTAATATTTAACATTTGTAAAGTAGTTATTATTTGCTAACCTTTCTTAGATACTTCAAATGCATCATTTTAGCCGATACCCCTTATTGACTCAACTCCCTAGAGTTACCTTCCTGCTGGAATTTCTGAATATTGCTCATCTCAAACTCCAAATTACAGTGTTGTGATTCTTGGGTCCTCACTATAGATTCCTGACTGTTGCACATTGTCCTGTTCTGCAGCCAGGGATTTCTATAACTCCCCTGGAAACTAAGTTCATAGCTACTTTCATTGAACATATTTTGTATAAGACCTCATGGGAGGTACACACATAAGGTTTTTCAAATCTCCTAACAATTATGCAATGTAGGTATGACTCAAAAAAAAAAAAAGAAGGTATGACTCTATGTGTGTATGTGACCTAGTTTTTAATTTGTGAAAAAATTAAAAATAATTAGTAGTTTGTGTAGCCTCTTGTTCCAGATTCCATGCCCTCTCCAACCACTTCACATTGAAAATACTTTGTGAACAACACATGAAGCTCTTTTTATTCCTCACAAAAATTGCTCTGCAACAGTGGGAGGCTAACGTCCCAGGACATTGACCTCCTATCTTTTAGATTGTGATGTCATCAACACCTGTCTGTACCTTAATAACGTTTGCGGCATGACCTACAACTACTACCTCTCCTCCACTAAAGCTTCAGTTCTGTTTATAGATCTACTAATCTAGTGAAATTATATGTAATGTAACTTAATCAACATTTTGCTTTATGGATCCGTCAGAATTACTATCTAATTTTGACAAATGTTAACATTTATTCCTGTTTTCTCTAGAATTTTAGAAACATAATAGAATAAAATCTTATTCGGAGAGGACAGTTGTTAAAATATTTGAGTACCTCTTATATATTTTTTGTATCATTGAGCTCATGCCCAATCCAATATACAATTATGTAAAAGTTTTTTTCCTCTAAATATCAACATTTTTCCAAGTTATAGAAACTTCAGGCTAATGTATTTCTAATGACTGTCTGTATTCACTATGATTTACTTAATCATGCCTCAATTTTAGGTTGTTCAAATTTGGGCATAAATACTTCAAAGTGTAATTTCTTCAATATTTTGAAGTTTTCTCATCTTATGAAAGATTTTGCTAACATGAGAGGTAAATATATCAGCTCATTTCTTGTTTAAATTTTGTTCTTTGATGAGCAGTGAGGCTTAGTATTTTACCAGATATTTATTGGTTATTTGTATTTAAAATTTTAAGTTCGTTTTCTTGGCTGCCTGGTATTCTAATATTTCCTTGCCGTAGCAGTTGTAATTGTACAAAGGTTCCAGGCTGAGGGCAGAGTCAGGAATTCCATTTCTGCTTTTGTGTTCAATGCCATTTGTAGACTATTTGCATTGTCACATTTGCCAACCGTTTCTAGCCACCCTCAGCTATAGCTATAGTTGCCGACACTAAGAAAACAAAGAAACAAAAGACCGGTCATAACATTTTTAGCAAACTTAACATGATGTACAAAATGTGTCTTTCATGTCACAGTAAACTAGGTTTGTTAGGTTTCTTCCATTGGCTATTCTTGACTATTTTTAATTCTTTTTGGAATGAGGTAAATAAATAAGCAAATGGATTAACTAATGCTTAATGATCTTTGATCTTCAAACTCTACTCTTTCACCTTATGACCATTCGGATATTGTTGAGCTGGTGCAGCTATAAGCACATAAGCCAGTGTAGTGAACACATTTAAACTAATTATACATATCCTAATGGGCGGGGAGGGACTATTCATAAAATGAGTTAAACTCAGATGCAGGTGCCAAATGTCTCCTGACCTTTTAGACTCTGATATCAAGTCTATAAAGTTACTTGTTTGCTTCTTGGCATGGTGTCTGGAAAATCAGTTTAAGATGAACGATATCTAATTCTTCATTATTCAAAGTAGATTCTGCAAGGCCTTGGCATCTCCTTCTCCCTTTTGCTTTGCGCACTCTTGGCAGTGATACTACTCATTAGCACCTCCGCCAGAAAGTGGGCAATGCAACATGAGGGGTCGTGGAATTGAGATTTGTCACCTTTGAGATTGCTTTGTCAGTCTTGCCTAAGTGGCCATGCTACACTAACAGCTGGGAAATTTTCTGGTATTCCAGATTCAGGAAAGAGACTGTTAGCCCATTAATCAAATTTTTACCTTGATTGCTACATAAAATATGTTAAATGATTTATGTACATGCTGGTTTCTACCTTTCCAACTGAAACTTTGCTATTAAAAGAAAATAAGGCTAAATTTAAAAGGATCAATAACTATTTATTGAGCATCTACCGTTTCTCCAGCACTGTGATAATTACCAATGATTTAGTGAAACTTGTAATCTAGATTCTAGGGTAGGACTGTCTAATAGAACTTTTAACAATGATGGAAATGTCCTGTGGTGTTCAATATGGTAGCATACGGCTATTAAGTGCTTAAAAGGTGGCTATTAAGCACTAAAAAGGTGTGCCTGAATAACTGAATTTTTACTTCAGTTTCAATTAATATAAATTTAAATTTAAATAGCCACGTGTGTCTACTAGCTTCCACAGTGGACTGCACAATTCTAGCGCATAGCTTTTTCCCACTTCCATTATCTTGAATGAGACTTATTAAATACATTTTTGTGAGTCAGCCTCAAAGGTTTATATGACCATGGTGTTGGTTTGTGGATTCAAGTTCTTTATTGTTTATTAATACTTTACCCAAAAAATATATGACTAGAGCTTGTCAAAAGGCATTCAGGGTAATATGCGATAATCTTCATTCTTTTATTCATGTGACCGAATGTACTGAACATTCCATGTGAGTGATAACAAGCTAAGAAAAAAGAAGTACTGGGCTTCTCAAAATATTTGGCAAATGAATGAATAATTATTAAAGACATGATTTACTGGATTTTCATTGCTTTTTATGGCTCAGTCACAAATTCAGAAAAGTGATCCTTTTTCCTGAAATGTTCTTTCGTACCCTCTTTTCCTACATTATGTCTACTGTCACTTAGGTCTTGGCTTAATGAAGTGTCTCTGGGTGCCCTTCCCATGTACTCCCACAGTGCCTGGTACTACAATAGTATATATTATATTATACTTAATTGCTAATTTATTTCCTTGCCTCTGTAAATAGATCATAAGCTCCTTGAGGTCAGGAACTGTGTCTTTCTACCATTGTATCTCCTCTGTTTAGCACGATGACAGGTAATTAGTAGGTATCAGCTGATGTGCTTCAAATGAATCAATAAATGAGAGAGTTTAAAATATGATTTCACTGGAAAAAATACAGGTCATGGTACAGAGAATTCAGTAAACATTTGTTGTACAAATGAATAAAGATGCTAGATCAATGCCAATTAATATCTTGCTCATTATTATGTTTTTAGGACAGAGCACAATGCCTAGTCACCAAGAAACACTATAGAATGAATATAATGTCTAGTTTAATATTCCATTGTGACACAATTAGATAAATTATTGAGATCTGGTGGCATATTTAGTTCATAATCTTATCTTTTGTTCAGAACATTTAGGGTGAGGGCTTCTATAAACTAAAACAGTTTAACTATTAAGAAATTCCCTTAACACAAACATTATATGGTCTCATTCGTTTGGGGAATATAAATATAGTGAAAGGGAATAGAGGGGAAGGGAGAAGAAATGGGTAGGAAATATCAGAAAGAAAAAAAAAAAGGAAATATCAGAAAGAGAGACAGAACATGGAAGACTCCTAACTCTGGGAAACAAACTAGGGGTGGTGGAAGGGGAGGAGGGCAGGGGGTGGGGGTGACTGGGTGCCAGGCACTTGACGGGATGAGCACTGGGTGTTATTCTGTATGTTGGCAAATTGAACACCAATAAAAAATAAATTTATTATTTAAAAAAAAAAGAAATGCCCTTAACAAGGAAATGTGGGGCCCAATTTCCAGTTTGGCCTTGCTTTTAACTCTATGAGAGATCCTAACTAAGCTAATTTGCCTCTGTGAGTATTAATTTTTGTACATGTAAGATGAAGAAGTGAGGACACAGTGTAATAGTGATAAGCATGGGCTTTGGGGTCAAGGAGCCATGCATTTAGGTCTTGACTATACCTCTTACTAGTGTGTGATATTGAATGAATATATATATATTCCAGAAAGACACAGTTCCTGACTATATATATATATATATATATATATATATATATATATATATATCTTATCCTAATAGAACCAAAACCATAGGTTATTAGAATTAAAGGTGATAGTATACAGAGAGCATCTGGTACATTGTTGGCTCTCAAAAAGTGTTAGCTGTTGCTGTTGCTGTAATCATTATCATCTACAGAGCTGAGTGTTTCACTGATCCCTTTTAGCCTGAATCTAGAAAACTAGATATCAAAGACATTGTATATCTTCTCTTCTCTTTGGATCAGAAATCACAGTTCCTTTTGAGGTTTTTTCCTGGGAGTATGAATAAAAAGTAAAAGATTGCATTGAGTTACT